CCTCTTCAGTATAGACAAGATGTCCATGGCTTGCTCTCTGACTGTGGGCAAAAAGTACATCTGAAGAGTAAACTATTGTAGGAGCCTCTTCATGTAAAAGTAAGTTATTCCATATGGGAGGCTCCTTGGTGTTAAGGAGACCATAAAAACTAAGTCCCAGCAGTGAGTGGAAATCGCTCTTTCCACTGGAGGGAACACACCTCTTGCTCGCCCTCCTGCTTGCTGTTGGAGAGTCTGCATCAATCTAGTCATCTTCTCTTTTGTAAAATTTATGCTGATGTAAGTAGGTTTATGTTAACACTGGAGATATTCTTTTTGCCTTTTGTTTTGTTTCTGTTTAAAGTGTCAAATATATGTAGCCATGATTATGGTTCCAGGAAAAGCCTATTCTTTGTGTGCAGGGATGGGTCGAGGCTCACCACTTTGCCAAGAAATGTGTCAGTAAATAATGAAACAGTTTAAAACAGTTTCAGTGATAATTTTGAAAATGTTATGCAATTCACCCTTTACCATGCATAATATTATTTGAAGTTTTAGGAAATCTGAAAAAAATGGGAATGTAAAGTGTTAGGCCATAAAACTACAACTGAATGCCCATGACCTTCAGTGTTTCAGGCGGCATAGCATTAAAAACCGGCGTGCTTCAGTGATGGATATCACCACATGGACTCAGGAATATTTAGACAAACCGTGGTCAATATACACTTCTTGTTGCCACATCCTCAAATGCAAGTTAAAACTGTACTATGTACACTGGAAGCTGTAAGTCAACAAAGTTCACACGACTTCTTTGTGCTTGAGCTTATATGAAATGGACTGATGCACATTAGAAACTTTTCGGATTGTTTGTGGAAATACTGGACATCATGTTCTCCAGACCAAAGAAGAAAAGGACCATCCAAATTGTTACCAGTGTAAAGTTCAAAAGGTAGGGTCTAACTTTCATACCTGTGAAGGCACCGCTAATACTAAAAGATACCTGCACTTTTTGAAGCAATGTATACTCCTTACTAGATTGATGTCTTTTTCAGGAATGTCCCTGCTTATTTCGGTATGACAACGCCAAGATCTGCCTCCCATTGAAAACGTGTGGTGAATTTTGAAGGACAAAATATAAAAACAAAGGCCCTGTATGGTTGTGCAGCTGAAGACTTATCTAACAGAAGAATGGCAAAAACTCAAAACTGGATCAGTTTGTGTCTTCAGTCTCCAAATAATCATTAAATGTTTAAAAGAAGGGTGTTGTATCAGAGTGGGATACTTTTTTGGAATGTGTTGAAATGAGTGTTTATTAAAAAAAAAAGAAATATGTCAAGGTAAAACACCAAATATAGCATGATTGGAATACTAAAAGCTAGAGACCAGAAGGTATTTTTAAGATCTTTTATTCAAGTTTTTTGGGAACACCACAAGGTGAATGATAAATAATCTACTGTAATTATATAGTATATGTAGTGTATGTGCATCTAAGTAATCATTTTAGACTGGCTGTGTGTTTTTATTTACAGTTTTGATATAGATGCTGTTCAACTTTCATTTATCAGAAAAACAACACTGTTCACTGCTGTGCTTGTACAGCTAAAGCAATTTAACAATTGCACAGAAAAATGTAAGCCTGTTGCAGGTATGAAAAATCAGTAGATTTTTCTCTCTGGGAGGTTTTCAAGCATTTAGTAATAACAATTGTTTTAAAGATCCAAAGATGCTCATAACGGCATGTAGAACACCAGAAAACAGACAGAGACATAACCGAGTACAAGAGTATACAACAGAAAAATAAAAGATATATTTACACATGCTGTTTTAAAAGAGCAAATTAACAAATCAAAATGAATCTATTAATTATCTAGTGCATTAGGTAAAAAATCATGTTTCATGAAAAGGCCTAATCAGATTTTTTCAAAACATAAGCACTCCAGGAGACTGTTTACTTATTCAGTGACTCATCAAACATTGTCCAATTCCCCATCATTTTTGCATCATTTCGTTTGTGTCCTTGTCTGGAAAAGGCTTAGATTAGAGGGCCCAAGGACAAGCGCTGTTTATGCATGTACATTTTGATGTGCTGAGTCCCTAACTCTGCCATCTCACTTGACAGAAGTCCTTGGCCCATGATGACTTCTGCTCAGGCTATGAAGCCACCTCAAAGCTCCTCCATTTTAGCCAGGACGAATTGATTCGTTCCACTTGTTAGGACCTGAGCTGGAAAATATTAGGATCACTGGACTTGGCTAAACCGTTGCAAATGCCCCGCAAATAATGCTGAACGAATTGTCCAGACCTGCAAAAGAGTGTTATTGTTATGGTATTTCAAATGGTCACATTGTCCCCCTTCGCTGCTTTGCGACTGAGATTAATAGTCTCTGTGACCAGTTTCCCCCTGAGGAATGGCTTTCAGGCGTCTCCAGCTGCTTGAGTGTAATGAAAACATATGGCTGAGCCTCTATGCTTCCCAACACTAAAGCCCTTGTAATGAAATGTGTGCGTCATCAATCCGTGAGTGCAGCAGGTGATCGTGCAAAGGAGATGTCACCTTCACACTGTGGGTTTCAGGGGGTTTGCGCATGCCATCACTGGTCAACTTGCTTACCATACACAGCAAGCGAGCCTTATCTCACTGTGTGACCAGCATCTATTTTCAGCTCTGTTCAGGTTCTAACTGTGCTTCTTTTGTCTAAGATCCAGGTTTGTCCATTTTCGCTGCATGGTTGTAGAACAAAGGCACCTTTTCTCCTCTTAAATTAACTGTGGAGATGAAACAGTTTCATACTTTTTGCAATATTTGCAATAGGATGTCATAAACACTTGATTAAATGCTATTGCTCTAGTAAAAAGTGTTAAAAATGTACTTTATTGATAAATATGCAGTGATAAGGTGGCGGCTTACATGTTGCTGCATTTGTTTAAATTCTCCTCCTTGTCTTTCCTACAGTAAGAAGCAAAGCCTGCTGGACACGCCTCAAGTGTATTTTTTAGACAAGTTAACATAAAGCAGAAAAACGTTAGTTTAAAAAAAAAGAGCTGTTAATTACAGTTTTAAACTGAAACCTAAAATAGAGTATGATTATTTTCCTTATTTTTTTCAAATGTTGTTTGTGTTTTAATTTTGACTTGTAAAGCATGAGATGTCAATATATGTAATTGCATCATTTGTTTACACAGTCTTGCCTTTGAATTGTATATTAGCTTTAGCCACTTGATGTTGGTCAAATGACATGTTTTGTTGATTTTTCCATAAGAAAATAAATTTAAAAATGACCTTTTTTTGCAAACTTTAGTGTTTATTTATCTATTTAGTTAAACAAATAAATAAATAGTGCATTAAAGTTTGCAGCAAAAATGTTGTATTTTATAAAATCAGGATATTTATTTATTTTTCCCATCCAGTTTTTCACAAGAGTTCTTTGTTCATCTGTTTTAGAATCTATTTGGAAAGTATTTTGAAATGTTTGTAAGGCTATGTATGGTTCGTAAGTGTTCCATTTCTCAATTACTAATGGGTCGATTAATAAATTGCTTTTGTAGTTGTTTGTGACAGCCCATATTAGTTTAATGAATGTTCGCCTCTTTTCTGCTTTTATCTCTGCAAATGTCTTTGCTGACAGAAGGAGAAGTATTTATAAAACAGCTGTCACATGAAGGATCTGCTGTCATTTTAGGTGTCCTTTTCCTTTTGCACTGTGCAAAAGTCTTTATTGCCATATGAGAAGTAATATTTTATTTAAAGGAAAGGAAATACTGATGAATCAGCTCAACGTTAGACGACGTATTCAGTATCTGAGCTGATGAAATGAGATGTCAGCAAAAGTCAGACATCATCAATTTCAGAAAAAAGACTAGCATTAGATAATGACACAGAAAAGAACCAAAGTTGGTTTGAATAGACAAACAGAAATATTAGAGGCACAGACGGCTCACTTTAAACTATCCAGTGTGACATCTGGGGCAGAAACATGAAAGAAAGCCTCAGCCAAGTAATCACAAATACGTACCCACAAGTAGGAGTGGAGAATACAAAATGTATTGAAGCACTCATATTTGTTGCGATGGCTAAAGAGTCATTCTTTGCAGAATAAAGGAGAAAAGAACTGTGCAGTTGTGTAATGATGTCCTATATCTTACCTTCCTATGGGTGCACTTTCTTCTCAGCTTGTCTCCTGTGATGCTTCCTTTTTAAAGATGCCCCTTTGAGTTGTCTTGCTGGAAACAGAAAGCAGGAAATGATGTTGGCAGGTTATTGACCCAGAAGCAGCTAAGCCTGGTTGTTAATTAATTTGAAAAGTTTTTCTAAGGAGAGCTATGTGATTTGTCTCACTATTCTAGCAACTCCGAGAAGCAGTTGAATAGAGAGGAGGCTGAAGGGCAAGAGGAGATGAGTGAACTGTAACTGATTTTCTAGAAAAATGTAGAACTTCTTTTCTGCCTTGAGCATAGTACTGTATATAATACCACGTGCATTCATACCAAGGGAACTATGGCTTAGAACTGGATCTAAAGTCAGGTCTACAGAACATGGATCTAAAGTCAGGTATACAGAAACCTTGAAAATCTCTATAATCGCTGAGGGCCCTTCTGAGTGTGTATGGGCAGCGTCAATTCACCCCGGACATTGGTCTCTTTGGAAACCCTGCTATTTAGTCTGGTACTGCCATTTAATTATCATTAGGCTGAGTACTCTTGTTTTCCCCCTGTGTAGAAACCGGCCGTTTGCACTAACGCTGGAAAGATTGAAAGGCCTTTGGCGGAAAAGCGAATACAATTAGGGAATGCTGGTGTAATGAAATCGCCTCAACCACAAGATAACTTTTTTCGATTATGGCAATTGTACATCAAGCAGCTGGTGGACGTGTGATTGAGCCCATTTGTTCAGACCAGGCATTTGGTATTTTTCTGCACTTTGCGTAACTCTCGTTTCTCTTTGGTTATCTTTCCTTCTGCTCAATTAACCTGAGCATTACTGTTAGAGCCAACAGGTAATTTCTCTGATTTTCTCTCCACAGAGCCCTGGAGAACGGTCCAAGAGGCTAACGCACAGCCACAGGCTCCGGGGAGTAATAGACACTGTACCTGCAGGTGAAATGCACTCACTCAAAGCTGAACTTGGTGGAAAGAACCAGTATGACTCCTGGACTCAATTTAAAGTGAATGATGGAGCTTTTATACCTTCATGTAATGTCTGTTTTCATTATGGGTTTTGTACATAGTGGATTTTTAAATAAAAATGTTCTGATAAACTATTCCTGCTGTGTGCCGGTAAATAGTATATTATTAACATAATAATAACAATATGGTAGTATTTTGTTTATTTGTTTGTTTGTCTGATTGTATTAACTAACAGTATAGCAAAAACTAGGGGGGAGAATCTGAAATGGGACACATGCACACATTTGCTGATTACCCTTATTGATGCTAGTACATAAATATTTCCAAGATGTAGAAATGGCACAGAATTTACCTAAATTAGCATTACAGAGAAATATAACGTTTATTTCTATAGGGTTACAAATGCAGTAAAAAGAATAAAATGCAGACATTTTAGTACAGTAGCCAAGAGTCACCTAAGCATTCTACTAGTATGATAAATATAAACTGTGATCAGGCCAGTATATGGACATAATGATTGAGTTTAGGCGTTAGTCACATCATTTGCTAACAGGTGTATAAAATCAAACACGTAGCCATGCAGTCTCCACTGACAACACACTGATAGTAGAATGGGTCGTACTGAATAGCTCAGTGACTTCAAAGTAGCACTTATGTAATTGTTGTTTTTTTTTGTGAAAATTGAAAGAAGTTACATTACTTACTCAGGACAAAAAGCCACGCTAAAATATAGTGTGCATGCGCTGCTGCAAGTTACTGCATCAGGCTGTATTTTGTGGGACTTTTCTGGTCTGTGCAATACGTCTTTTACTATTAACGCACTCTCAATCATCAGATTCATCTGGTTGTTGGGGTCCAAAGCATAATCTGTGTTACAAAATGTTCTTCGAAATGTTGCAGACAATTACACATTTCCACCTGAGAGGTCTCCAAATCCCCAAGTCTTACATAGTGCAGCTTTAAACATAACACTGTCATAGGATGCCACCTTTAGCACAAGTCAGTTTGTAAAAATTTTTGCTTTGCTAGATCTGCCCCAGTCAACAGTAAGTGCTATTACCATGAAGTGGAACAGCAACAGCTGAGCCACACAGGGGTGGACCAGGCAAACTTACAGAGCGGGGCCACCAAGTGCTGAAGCACGTAAAAATCACTTCTTCTGTTGCATCACTCACTACAGAGTCTCAGCCTGCATCTGGAAGCTACATCAGCAGAAGAACTGCTGATTGCATTGGGAGCTTCATGAAATGGGTTCCCATGGCTGAGTAGCTGCATACAAGCCTAAGATCACTATGCACAATGCAAAGCATTAAAACCATGCTGCCACTGGGCTCTGGAACAGGAAGTATTCTCTGGAATGATAAAATGCACTTCACACTTTGGCAGTCTGATGCCAGGATAACGCTACATATTGGAATGCATAGTGCCAACAGTAAAGTTTGGTAGAGGAGAGAAAATGATCTGGGGCTGTTTTTCAAGGTTTGGGCCAGCCCCAAGGGTAATGTTAATGCTACAGCATACAAACACATTTTAAACAATTATTTCCATTCAACCTTGTTTCAGTAGTTTGGCCCTGTTCTGTTCCAGCTTGACTGTGCCCCTGTGCACAAAGCAAGGCAGATAAAGACATGGTTTCATGAGTTTGATTTGGAGGAACCCAAGTGGCCTGCACAGAGGCCTGACCTCAGCCTGACTGAAAACCTTTGAGATGAATTGGACCATCGATTGGAGATCAGTGCCTGGCCTCACAAATACTGTTTTGACTGAATGGGCACAAATTTGCACAGACAAGCTGCAAAATCTTGTGGAAAGCCTTCCCAGAAGAGCAGGGGCTCCATATTAATGCCTATGGTTTTGGAATGGGATGTCCAACAAGCTCATATAGGTGTTATGGTCAGGTGTACACATGCTTTTAGCCATACAGTACATCACCAAATATCAGTTTGAAATATATGTCGAATCTAAACATCCGATGCCCATTTATCCGATGTTTTAAGCAATTGTCTGTAAGTACTGATGTGATACTAATGGTATCATGTAGCCCCATATAAAACACAGCAAAGTTCTCAAATTCAGGCCATAATTAGCTTATTTTCTTCTCTTCCACATAAGTTGTACGTGGCTTAGCTTATCTTTCTCTAAAGCAGCAAGAAACACTAAACAAGATGTTTGCAGTTCCTTTTTGGATCATGTAGCTTGATAGCTTGTCTAAATGCAAATCTAATAGGGTAATTAAATATCTGATTTGAGCATTGTAACCTGTTATCTGAATCTAATCTAATCTTTTTACGAAAGTATGAGGATATGTGTTTCAACATCTGAAAGATGTTTCACTAATTCACACAGCATGCATGCCCATACTGTATGGTATATTCCTAATTGAAGCTTAGCGTGCAAAGCCCCCTTTTTCTACTCGATGTGTGCTCAATTAGAAGAGCATAGGCCGTTTCCACTAGATGCACTTGGGTTCCACTTCTGCAAAAAGGATTACCAGTCCTTTTATTGGCTCTAAAGGATGGATTGATTATTTGCACACTTACTTGTGAAAGAAAAAAGAAGAACAGAGGTAATGGGTCTTTAGAGGGGCTTCAGGCTTGCTTGTGGTTGAGCCACCCAAGGATTCAAAAGTTTGTGTTTGAAAGGAAGATATGGGGATTCTTGGTGAATGCGTGTTTTCTTGCTTGAGTCATTCCATCTGTGAAGTGCGTCTGTGTTACAGAATCATATTTTAGTTAGCGTTTCACATCTGTGAAGAGTTAAAGAAAATTCTTGGCTTTGGACATGCATTTAGGTAAACATCTAAAGACGACAGACTGGACGGGAGAATCTAATATTGAAATGTAGGTGTTTGATTTGTTGAACATAGTGCTACGGTACCTACTCTAGGCCCCTCGTTGCTTGGGTTACAGGTTGACCTGTGGTTCTAATTCCAATGTCCTTATTAAAGCCATATGATAGGCCTTGAGGTACAAATAGAGAAAAGCAGAAAAGGGTCCATAGCTACTTTATTTGACCTGGCTTTCCTTTTACAATTTAAATAACTGTACATGTCCTCCAGCTGTGCTATTACCACTCAGCCAACTTTGTAGATGTTTTACATGTTTGACTGTTTATCATTGAAGGTTGCAAATGATTTTCAGGCTCTTAAGTGGGTAAGTATGCGTTTGATGTAAGTAGTTGTTCATCTGATTTTGTTTTCAGGCATATATACTGACAGAACGCTTTGCTAAGAATGCCTGTAAATCTACTCATTCATGCAATTATTTAATCAGCCAATCATGTGGCAACAGTCCAGTGCATAAAATCATGCTATGATGTACACATCAACCATCAGTATGGGGAGAAAAAAATGAGATCTCAGTGATTTTTGACCGTGTATAATTGTTGGTGCTGGACAGGCTTGGTTGAGTATTTCTGTAACTGTAATTTCCTGGGATTTTGACACACAAGAGTCTCTAGAGTTTAATCATAATGATGCAATAAAGATAAAATATCCAGCAAGTGTCAGTTCTGCTGACGGTAAGGCCTTGTTGATGAGAGGCCAACGGAGACTAGCTAGACTGATTTAAGCTGACAGAAAGGCTACGGTTACTCAGATAACCACTGTGTACAGTTGTGGTGAGCTGAAAAGCAGAATGCACATGTCTAACCTTGAGGCAGATGGGCTACAACAGCAGGAGACCACATTGGGTTCCTCTTCTGTCAGACAAGAACAGGCTGAGGCTGCAGTGGGCACAGGCTCACCAGAACTGGACAGTTGAAGACTGCAAAAACTTAATCTGGTCTGATGAATCTCAGTTTCTGCTGAGGCACATAGATGGTAGCGTCAGAATTCAGCACCAACAGAATGAATGGACTCAACCTGCCTGTCAACAGTCCAGGCTGGTGGAGGTGGTGTAATAATATGGAGAATGATTTCTTTGCACACTTTTGGTCCTTTAATACCAATCATCACTTGAATGCAATAGCCTATGTGGGTATTGTTGCTGGTCATGTGCATCCCTTCCTGGCCACGATTTTCCCATCGTCTAATGGCTGCTTCCAGCATGATAATGTACCATGTCACAAAGTAAAAGTCATCTCAAGCTGGTTTCATGAAGATGACAATGAGAACACCTTTGGGAGATGTAGTAGAATGGGAGATTCGCAGCATGAAGGCACACCTGAGAAGTCTGCAGGAAACAAACAACATGGACCACAATCTCAAAGGAATGTTCCAAGAATCTGGTGGAATCTATGCCATGAAAAATTGAGGCCCTACCCAATGTTACTATAGCGTTCCTAATAAAGAGCTCAGTGAGTGTAAATGCACTTGTGTTGGAGGGCTGTACTGGCTTTTCATGTTTGGAATTGTATATGTTATGCTTGGAAACCCCTGAAATGTAAGTGCTGTGTGAATGTACAACCCCAGTAACCTGAAACACTATTCTACAGCATGGCAGCGAGAGTGTGGCTTCTTCCATATGGCAATTGCCTCTTGCCCTGTATCCATCCTTACATCTCTCAGGGTGAATGGTGGCTGTATGTTTTTTTTCCCTTGTTTAGAAGCTTCAGCCTGGCAAGCCTGAGAGCTGTTGAATATGTCTGTCATTTGCTATCAGCATACGTGGTGCTTTCTGTAAACAGCCTTCAGATTGATTCTGTGTTTGTTTGAAAGAGTACGGCCTGGATAATTCAATCTTTTCAAGGTTTAAGGAAGACAGCCCAGAGAAGAGAAAGGCAGAAGGGAAGAGAAGCAGGAGTGTGGCAGAGATAGAAACAGTAATTTAAAACAGCTGAGCAGGAGTTTGGACAGTGTCACGAAACTAAAAAGACAGCCAGTAGAGGTCACACTGTGGTCCAGCTCACCTCTGGTGTCAAAGACACAAAGGTACTGGTTAGTGGCATTGTGGTACTTTTCGGCCTTTTCTACAACCTTTCACGCTCCTTGCACCCTCTCCTGCACTTCTTAACTCAGAAAGGAGTAGTTCACGGTCATCACTGTTCTACACTTCTACTCTCTTATGCTGTTATTTATAATGTTTTCCATCTCAAAACAAAATGTGGTAAAAACAACACAGTGTTTCAGATTGGACAGGCTTTAGAGAATCTTGACATAATTCCCATTGAATTTAATGA